GTATTATCTATATAGTAGTAGACTTTTACTTAATATTATAAATAAATTAAGTTATTAAGGGATTTATTACTCTAATTAATTACTAAAACTATTTATTCTAAAGAACTATATTAAGTCTTTTAGTATACTTTTATATTACTTAAAGTTATATAAAACTTATACTAAGTAGATATATAAAACTATATTATAGGTCTCTTCTCTTATTCTTTAGTAATATTATCTTAATTTCCTATAAGATTTATTAATTAATTAGTGTAAAAATAGGGTAACTAGCTAAGTTAGTAATACCTCTATAAATAAATTAATTACTATAGAGGTATTAGATATATATTTTATATCTCTATTATATAGTTATATATTTAAATACTACTATAATTATAATAATTAATAGTAATTAAAGTACTAGTAATAAGTTTAATACGTTTTATATATAATATAGTAAAATGCGTATTATAGTATAAAATTAGCTTTTTTTTTATGTTTTTACATAAGTAGGGAAAAAAAGGGGGGGCGGACGCTGTTAACGTAACGGACTGTAGTATTGCAACTGCAGCTTAATTGCTGGTCGAAACCACCACTTACAAGTTCTGTTGGCTTGAGCTTACAGTAGCGCTGAAATTCATAGAAGAAACGCTGGACGAAAGGTCGATCTCTGTGAGTAATTCTGAGTCCTTTTGCTTCCCATTGCCATTTTCAGGCTTGTGGCCTGGACTTCTATGCGACAGCCGCCTCCAAACGCTCTTAATAGATACCTTCCGTCTCGGCTTCAATTTTCTCTGCACGTTGCTGGCAAAAACTCGTTGGCTGAGAGCGTCCAGGCCATCCTCCTCGTCAGCTATTACACTGCCATTACTTTTGGCAAGACTGCGCGGCTGCTTTCCTCCAAGCGGAGCATCCTCGCCAACTCGAAGTCTCAGCTGTGAGCCTTGATCGTCGCTCAGAGGATTGAACATAAGCATGATTCTGGCGTGTTCTTTACCTACTTCCTGAAGCTTCTGGGTCGTGATGCCGCAAGGGTGACCGGTTGAGCATGCGCAGTTATCTGACCAATGTTCTTGAAACGAATTGAAAAGTCCCTGCGCTTGGTTTTGAAGCTTCTGATACTCTTTCCACTGGTCTTGATCGCGAAATGATGGTCTAGAGGGTGGCTCAGCTATTGGGTTTGTCTTTGATGCCTCAAGATAGCGATGTATGTCGTCATTGTGTTTCTTCAAGTTTGCCAAAAGCTCGTCCTTTTTAGTAGAAAAACTTGTCGCAAGACGGTATACGGCGCTCTCAATGTCATTCGAATCTAGGAAGCGAGCCTACCAAGGCAAGTCAGTCACAGCCGAGATGGGAACTAGTAAAGTAGTTCGAGAACATGACAAACCTTTTCAACAGGGAGTAACTCGCGAAACCTCTTTAAAAGCACCGCTACATCCCGAAATCGGCAGATCAGCCAGTGGTAGTGGTCACTTTTGACATTGCGCCGGATCTCTGTTTCGATGTGTTCTTCGTCCCAGAGAGAAGGCTCGGTACCACTTTGGAGTTTCCGACGCTCGGCGTCAGATATATCGAGAGAAGCAAGTAAACGCGTGACATTCAAGTCGTAAATTATGCGCTGGAGATTCAAATCATCGATGAAGGATTCGAATTTGGTCCGAAATTCCCAGTAAAACTCGAACTTCTTCGCTAGTCCGTCAAGCTCCTTCGCGCACTCCAAGACAAGTGGAAAGGCGCCCAGAGCCAGCCCTGCTATCTCAAAGCCAGACATTCCAAAACCGGGTATGAAAATCTGTAAATGATTGCGTCTTTCGTTCCGACTAAGTGATGCAATAGTAGACGGAGTGGGAGCTTTTGGTAAATGAGTTAACCAAAGTGCAGGTTTGCGCGAGATTGTAGTATTTATCCGTAGATCTGCATGGAATGGATTATGGCACGTGACTCCCTTCGCGTTATGGTTGGTTGATCAAGCGATAATAAATCCTGTATTCCAACATGCGGGTGCCGCATGTGACGTGTGACGTGGTTAGAGAGCATGTTTGTTGCAGCCGGGCTGGGGTAGATTTGCATGCCCCTCCGGAAATGCGTGAACAACACTTTGCTCACTCAACTTCAAGTTCGGAGCGCAATCGCAAAGAATGGCTCAAAAAACCGTCGATAGCAAGTTTTCGGAACTTGCAACTCAATGTATGACAACGCTAGACGATCTCATCAATAAGGTTCCCAGCTCAACAGCAGATGGAAGTCATGTCTTGGCCGTTGACTTCCGCGGAAGGTTTCGGGTCTGGGCAGCAGACATTGGAGCGCTGCAGTTGCCATCATCTCCAAAATCTCCAGATACCCGCGTCAGAGCGGCTAGCCAAATGGGTTCGAGCATTGTATCTGGCCTTGTGAGAATCAATGAATCGGGAACTACTGGTAAGTTTGCATGTGACGGTTGCAGGAGTCATCGAGATCCTAATAACGATCATAGCGCTCAAGATTCTGACGGGCGATTTGCCAAACAGACAAAGATACACAACCCGTAATGGTCGTTCCGAAATAGAGAAAGACGAGCTGAGAGAACTGTTGAAGAATATTCAATCAGCAGTTGATCATCTGTTCGAGCTCTCAATTATTCTTAGGAGACATAAACCGCGAGGTCGTACGCTGCATATCGCCTTTGAACCCAGTACGTCTTCTCAAGACATTACAAACGTTGGCGACAGATATCCGAAAGCGAGAAATAAGTCTTGGCTGCTGCAACGTCTTGGTAATGCTGTCAGCATGCGCAGACAATACATACAGTACAGACAGAACCATCGTCCCGGTCGGCCTGAGGGCAAAGGGAAGAAAATCGGAGGTGCAGCGACGTCGAAAGCCACGACTTTCCTGGAGCCTGAAGACTTGTTGAGGTCCATGCGAGCGTTCTCAATACACACATCCGTAACTTCAATGGCGAGCAGCTTTGGCATAAACGAAGACGGACAAAGCCTACGTGTCCCGCCGTTAACGGACATGGTATTGAATGGCGTTGCACTAAAATATGGGGAAAAGTTTGAGTGTCCTTACTGCAGAACAAAATGCATGGTGGAAACACGAGACGAATGGAAGTATGCACAAACCAAAGCCTAATGCTTAAAATGGTACTTGATATTGACTGACATCTTCCTCCACCAGAAAGCATGTTTTCTCAGACCTTCAGCCGTACGTCTGCACGTATGAAGATTGTGAACAACCGTTGCAACTTTTCGACAGTCGAAATGCTTGGATTAGGCATGAGAGGGATGTTCACTGCCGTGAATGGTTGTGCATACTTTGTGACCGCTCAGCTTCTTTCCGAAATCGTGGCCAACTTGAGGAACACATCTCGACATATCACCAGGGTAAAGTCACAGCTAACCAACTCCCCGTGATTCTTGAAGCTTGTGGGCGTCTGAGGTTAGATGATGCCATGCCCTGTCCTCTATGTATGGAATCGATGTCCGAGCCAGCATCGCCGAGTAGCCATGAATTGTATGCAAACCATCTGGCGAAACATTTGCGGCAAATAGCACTCGCGTCCATTCCAATCTACATAGAAGGCCTGCACACCAGAGGGAACCCCGATATAATTGAACCCAACAACGACGAGAAACTTCTGCGAATCTGCGATAGCTGTCAGCTGAAGTGGATAGCAAAGCACCCTGCGCTAAACCACTGCCCAAGGTGTCACAGCCATAAGATCAGTCTTGGCAAATTGGGCCACACCGAACAAACTGAAATGGAAGAACAGACCTCACATCATGAGGCACCTGATGAACACGCCACTAGTACCCACTTGGCAAGGCAGAGAATATTCAAGAAACACAAAGTTCTTCCACATCCAATACAGCAACCCAACGAAACCCAATCCTACGAACTCCAGTCGACCCCTTCCAAATTACGCCAAAAGATCATGGACACCAGTCAGTTCAAGACTGCTCATGACGTGCCTTCAGAGAAGGTCGAGTTGAGCGAGAGAAAATCCACTGAAAACAAGGCACCTGCGGGAAGTCAACAGACTTAGCAGCAGCCCGAGGAATCTGATTTGAGTCAACTATCAGAAGGCTTGCTCAAAACCTCTTGGACCGCGCATGGGCAAAAGGGGTCACGAAGACCTTTGAAACTGGCGAATCCGGCAACCATGTATGCCTGGGTGTGGTACTGCGTAAGTTGTTCCTCCCTCTATTGAACATCCGTAGCTTATCAGATGGCAGTCTAATTGCTTCACTGGGCCTCTGACCGCTAGTACTGACCAAGCATGCCCGAGCTGCCATCATTGGAGATGCGAATACTGTAGCATGCAACAAATTGCAATGCCAGCAAATCTTTGAAACATGGACATTTCCGGCTTCGACGTTAGCGGATAGTTTCACTTTCTGCTGTCGTCGCGTTGCTGGCATTCCCTTCGACTAAGCCGGCGGGTGGGGCCGGATCCGGCACGGCCCCTTCAAAGATCGCTCGGATCCCGCCGACGGCGCGAGGAATTTCCCTTGGGGCGATACTACCTTAGTATGAGTTGAACTAAGCTCAACCTAGCTGCTGTCAGTGATTTGAGGTGTATCCTATCATCTGATATACCATTAGAAACATAGTGTAGTAAGCAAGAACGCGCAAAGAGTCATTGAAACTCAAAGAGGAAAGAACAATCTCTTCTTGCGGTTTTGTTGCTGATCTTGACTGTCATTGAAAGCCCGACCCTTGTACAATTTGAATATTGCGCACGGACTATTGGCCAATTCAGAGGTGACAGCCAGTGTGAAGTCAATGTGAAAGCGAGCGGTGAATGTTAACCCGGTGAAGCTTAGTGGCCAAGTCCGGGAAAGAAGGCTGGGAAGTAGCTTCCTTTAGTTGATATTGGAGCACGGCGCGGCATTGCACCTGCCAGGCTACTATCTGCCAACAGGCTGAAAGAGCCAACTCAGTGTGTTGTGATGGCAGCAGTCCAGGTATCTTCATGCACCCCTGAAGGCCACCCAATAGCCACTGAGCAAAAACGCTTGGACCATGTAGCGGTGAGAGGGTCGTGGCTACCTGATTGGCCCAGCAGGACCCCGCAGTCTGGCAAGTACTGGAGACCCAACAGACCAAGCTAGCAGTGAGCAATTGGCGCTAAACCCGGTGAAGGAGGGGGGAGCACCCTTCTCCCACAGGTCTATCGTGCCACTGGCCGGCCTTGTTGATTCTGCCCCGCCTTGCCCACAACAAGAGACCCTCCAAACGTCTGAAAACCATCACCACGCCTTCCCTCCCCCTAGCTCTTCCGAACCTCATCTCTGCGCTGCGCGCGTGAAAATATTCCCCTTCCCCATCCCAATTTGCGTCGCAGTATTCCTCCAGAACCGTCCAGCTACGATTCATCATGAAGGGCGAGGTAAGTCACGCGTCTTCTTTTCCAAAATTCCCCAGAGGCGATCCAAGCTGCTGCATCGTGGCTTCGCTGTCCATTTTCGCGGCAGCAACGACCCCTGAAATCCGGCCCAGCTACCCAGCCTACCTCGCCTTGCCTCGGCCCTGATAGCTTCGAAACTGACATCAATCTTCTCCAGATTCTTCACCTTCATCTCGGCCAGGCCGGTACCCAGCTGGGTAACTCTGCTTGGGAGCTGTACGTCGACTTTCTTCGTCCCATGACTTCCCTATCCAACGGAAAATCCGATGGACTGACCGCCAGCGTGCAGCTACCTCCTCGAGCACGGCCTCGGCCCCGATGGTCGTCCTGACCCCAACGCCAAGGACGTCGTCGATGGAGGATCCTACGAGACGTTCTTTACCGAGACTAGCAATGGCAAATACGTCCCTCGATCCCTCTTCGTCGACCTCGACCCTTCCCCCATTGACGAGATCCGAACTGGTGGCTACCGCCAGCTGTTCCACCCCGAGCTGTTGATCAGCGGCAAGGAGGATGCCGCCAACAACTACGCCCGTGGCCACTACACCATTGGCAAGGAGATGGTTGACAATGTCATCGACCGTGTCCGCCGCGTCGCCGGTTCGTTCCTGCCCGTCCAAAGCCCACCCGTCAGCCTGCGCCCAAACTGACCGACATCAACAGACAACTGCCACTCTCTCCAGGGTTTCCTGATCTTCCACTCCTTCGGTGGTGGTACCGGTTCCGGTTTCGGTGCTCTGCTCCTTGAGCGCCTTTCCACCGAGTACGGCAAGAAGTCGAAGCTCGAGTTCGCCGTCTACCCCGCTCCCCGTGTCTCGACTGCCGTCGTCGAGCCTTACAACGCTGTTCTGTCTACCCACAGCACCATCGAGAACTCGGACTGCACCTTCCTGGTTGACAACGAGGCTGTCTACGACATCTGCCGCCGCAACCTCGACATTCCCCGTCCCTCGTACGACCACCTGAACCGCCTCATTGCTCAGGTCGTCTCCTCCATCACCTCGTCTCTCCGCTTCGATGGTGCTCTCAACGTCGACCTGAACGAGTTCCAGACCAACCTGGTCCCCTACCCTCGTATCCACTACCCCCTCATCAGCTACGCTCCCGTCATCTCTGCTTCCAAGAGCTCTCACGAGAGCTTCAAGGTTCAGGAGCTTACCTTCCAGTGTACGTCCCAAATCTTACGTGCTATGAAGACATGGAAACTGACAGATTGCAGGCTTCGAGCCCAACAACCAGATGGTCGTCTGCGACCCCCGCAACGGCAAGTACATGGCTGTTGCTCTCTTGTACCGTGGAGACGTCGTTCCCCGCGACTGCAACGCTGCCATCGCCGCCCTCAAGGCCAAGGCCTCCTTCAACCTCGTCGAGTGGTGCCCTACTGGTTTCAAGCTCGGCATCAACTACCAGAAGCCCATGGCCGTTCCCGCCGCCGCCGGCGACGGTGGTCTTGCCTCTGTCGACCGTTCCGTTTCCATGCTTTCCAACACCACCGCCATCGCCGAGGCCTGGTCGAGATTGGACCACAAGTTCGATCTCATGTACAGCAAGCGTGCCTTCGTCCACTGGTACGTTGGTGAGGGTATGGAGGAGGGTGAGTTCAGCGAGGCCCGTGAGGATCTTGCCGCTCTCGAGAAGGACTACGAGGAGGTCGCTGCCGACTCCTACGAGGCCGACGAGGGAGACATTGAGTACTGAGCCGACATCGGACGCACCGTTTCTTCGTTTCGCGGTAAATCGGTTGCTGCGACGAACTACGACGTACCTGGTGGCCTTGGGCGAAACGAATTCACGAAAAAGTTTGTTTTGGCGGCCGTTGGAGTGTCGGTTCAGTAGATTTCTCTGTTCTCGTTCCCGCTGAACGGACATGGACGCGCAAGACACTGGATTACCCCATAACCCATGAATGGATATTTCGGAGTCAAGCTCGAGTTGATAATAGATGAGACCAAGTCCCTTTTCTTCACACGAGTACATACACGTGGTCTTTTGGTTCCCCGATACTTGAGAGGTCGGGGCCTTTTCCCGTAGTCAATTGTAACTGAAATTGCACATTACATTTTCACATCAGTGTACCCGATGGTTTCCCTCCAGTGATTTGCCAAAGTCGAGAATAAAGCGAGGTAACTATTATCATGTGGCTGCAATAAGTGATCTATCTCATTTTTGGACGCCTTTTACCTATGCCGTTTTTATGTTCACCAGTGGTATTCCCTGACAATAATACATGCTTTTCTGCCCTAATCATTAACAACCTCTTTACTTCTTCTCCTTGTTCTTCCATGCCTCCGCTCTCTTCGCGCCACGACCTGTAGGCTTCGACTTCTGGACACGACCCTTGACCTTGGCCCGCTTGTTGCCGAACTTGAGATCCTTGGGCCTGCCATCCTTGGCGCTGGCGCGACGTCCCTCGAAGATGAAGGCCTCCGGCGCCTTGATGTCGTCCTTAGGAACAGCACCAGAGCCGCTGGCCCTAGGGGGCTTCCTGTCACTGCCCTTGCGCTGCTCACGCATGGCACCGGCGCGACCCAGGAGACGGCTCGCACGGCCGGCCATGGATTGCTGTTCGGGGGTGATCTTGGCCTTGTAGCTTGTGCTACCCGGTGCGCCGCGCGCGGCTTGGACCCTCGCCTTGGATGAGCGCTCCATTGCGAGTGCGGTCTTGTGAGGGGCCTTGGCGCGGGCCACGCGCATGATTCTGGGGAGCATGGGAGGGTATTTCTTGCCGTCCAGGAGGAGAGCTGCTTCGACGTGGTTGGCGTCCTGTGAATGTTAGTATCTTACGACTGTGACCTGGGGAGTTCTGTGGCTACTTACGTAGAACTGGACGTAGGCGAAACCCTTGCCTACTCTCGTCTTGGGATCACGGATGACGCGCACGTTCTCAACTTTGCCAGCTTGCTTGCCGAACGTCCTCCACAGACCCTCTTCAATGTCTGCAGGCACCTTGGTGCGCTTCTTCTGCACCGTCTCACCGGCCTCGTCCACCGTGGTAATCGTCTCGTCGTCGACGAAGCCCAGGTTACCAACAAACACACAGCGGCGATGGTCTGTCGGAGAAGGGTGGGCAACGCTGTCGACGCGCAGGTGGCGTTCCAGGACAACAGTGCCGTTCAGCTCTGAGACGACCTTGCGCGCAGCCGCGGGGGTCGAGAAGACAACGTACGCATTTGCGGACTTTGTCGTCTCCTGCATGACGGCCTTGGTGATGTAGGCCGCGCGCTTGGGCAGGGCGCCGCCGGAGAAGGCGACGGATCGGAAGCGGATGGACTCGATCTTTTGCGCCGGGGTGGCGTCCTTGTCGAGGACGCTGGTGAGGTGGGCTTCGAGGGTGCGCTTGGCGGCCTTGTTGGAGACGGCCTCGGAGGCGACGTTGGAAAGGAAGACGGTGCGGTTCGCCTTGTCGATCTCGTCGTTCTTGTCCTTGTTCTTGCCCTCGGCTGCGAGAGACTCATGGACGGGGACTTCAGAGTCGGACTCCTCCTCTTCTTCTGACGCTGCCCCCTCATCCTTGTCCTCTTTTTTGCTGCGCTTCTCTGCGGGCGTTTCCTTTTCCTCGGCTTGCGCGAGCTTGCTTAGGTACTTGCCCTCGATATCGTCCTCGTCCCTCTTGCGCTTGCGCTCCTTCTTAGGTTTCGCGTTCGTTTCTGAGGCCTCTTCCTCCTCTGACTCAGCCCCAGCCTCTGCGTCGTTATCGCTTCCTTCCTCGGAATCTTGCTCCAGCTCCGAAAGCTCCTCGTCGTCTTCCTCATCGGCATCGGGCAGTTCTTCGTCAGAGTCTGCCGTTTCGGGCTTTGATTTCGGGGGCGGCGCTTGGGAGAATCTCGTCGTAGAGGGAGCCTTGACCGGACCAGCCTGGGATTTGTTAGGATTTTGCAAGTTCAATTGGCTGACTACCAGTGTTATATCAAAGACTTACACTAGATGCGAAGAGTGCATCGAGAGTGGGGTCAATGGCCTTTGTTGAGGCCGTAATTTTAGAGTTACTGATGAAATGTAAGTATTTTATGATGTAATACTTGAAATATCACCAAACATACCCCTTGGCCATTGTTGCGACGAGTTCTTTGCTTGCGTAACGTCACGATGTTTTTTCTGCAGCGGGCCTGCTGTAGATGCACCGGCCGCCAAACTCCCGTCCGCCAGAAAAAATAATCAAGCTCCTCTGTCGCCGGCCTGCGCCCCCCCCCAAGCCGATAAGGAATTTTCGGCGGTTCGGAGGCTGATAAGAAACGGAACAACCAGCCATTGGCGCAAAAGGTCTGCCGGGCGCTATTTGCCGAGAACAAGTGCCCCGTGCTCACTGTTGTGCCAGCTCTCACCGCTTTCGCTGTCAGGGCGAGGACTCGTTCTGCCGACCGATGCTGGTTCCGCACTGGGCAAGACGGGCGAAGGCACAGAGAGAGAGGGAGCAGCAGGTGAGCGCATCTCTCATGGAGCGGCAGGTCACTAACGCTTCTCTTCCCATCTCCGAAAACCCACCACGACACCACCACTCCGCGCTCGCCCACCTCTGTTTCCGGGCTCTACGCAATCCCAAGCTTTCATGCTATCCTCTGCCAGCTTTTATTTACCTCTAGATTTTGGCAGACACTCGCTTTTCTCCCCACAACGGCCAGCCCACCACCCCAACCTGCCTCTGCTGGTTCTGCTTGTCCCTCCGCGCCTCGCCGCCGTCGTTCCCACGAAAACGTCTGGTCGAATTGCACCCGTCCGCGACCCATCCTGCACCCGAACCACCCGACTTGATATCGCAAAGCACGGTATCAAGTCCTCTTTTCAATGGCAGCCACGGCGTCAGCGCCGCCTGCCCTCTCACCGGGCCAGGCGACGCTCGATCACGACGACAGCAACATCTCCAGCCCTCTAAGCGACGTCGAGGACAAGGACGGCGGAGACTCCCTCGATGGCATGCAGCTCGACCCGCCTCAGTCACACCACGACGATGCGCTCGACTCCGACAGCAACCTGTCCGAGGCGAACGATACCGAGGCGGAGACTGAGCGCCTCTACGACACCCCGCAGGCCCAGCGGCACAAGGACGTGGTCGTCAATCAGTTCAACGACGGCCAGATCTTTGAACGCACGCCTAGCAAGCTCCAAAAGACATTTTCCGTCGACGGCGCCGACGATGGCGACGACGACAGTCTTTCCGACCACGACGACGTGTCGATGGCCTCCAGCCACGGTGACGAGGCGTCCCCCAGCAAGCCCAAGAAGTCCACAGAGCTCCCCTCCGCCGAAGACAACTCTGAGAGCGCCGATAATAAGAAGAGAAAACGGTCGCCGATCGCGGAGTCAAGCGAGCCAGGGCAGCCTTCCAGGAAGCGCACCGGGTCAGTCGTGCCCCAGGACCAGGAGCTACACAAGAATGACGTGGAGATGCACGAGGACGAGGTCCCATCCACAAATTCCCACAGCGGCGACCACTCTGCGACCGACGATAATGCCCCCGAGCTTCCACCGACCAAGCGTGGTCTGTCGCGCGACGGCCAGAGCCCGGTGAAGGACGCTCAAATAACGAAAAAGGTAACCCGCAACGGCAGCAAGCGCAAAGGCAATGCTGTTGAGGTCCATGACCCTGAAGGTCATGACAACGCCCGCGACGATAGTCGTGGTGACGAAGATGCGGGGGCTCACGATGACGATCACGCTGAACACGAGGGTGACGACGAGGCGGAAGCGACACACGACGAAGAGCGTAAGGAGCCCTTGACCTAGTGCACTAAGCTTAGACTGACCAGATCTCTAGTCGAAAAGAAGCGTGCCGCTGTCGAGGAGTGGACAGATTTGGAGGAGAAGTTTGTGTTTTTCCGCGAGCGGTGAGTATTCTACGCGTCGAATCACCCCGCCCGACACGCGCTGATTGATTTGCGGCAGACTGTACAAGGATCGCCTAGAGCGCCTCGAGCAAGAGGAGCACTCCCTGCAAGCCGAACCTCCATCCCATCCCGAGTACCTTAACATGAAGCAATGCTTGGACGAGAGGCTCGAGAAGAAGTTGCTGCACATGAACAAGGAGTACGAGTTGTCCGTCGAGGCGCTCGAACGACTAGCTGTAGCACGCCGCGCCCAGATCTGGGACCAGTTCTACCAAGGCGTAAGGGAAAAGCGCTCAAAGATGCTAGAGGATCTCAACAAGGAGTGGTACGAGACACAGAATGCTAGACGTAGCGCGCATAGCGTGCCAGACTACGGGCTTCTGTTCCCTACCAACCCGACCCAGCGCACCAGGAATGCTGTCGCGTACAACTCGGAAGTTTCTTTCCTCGCAGGACTTGCCAAGCATGAAGGTTTCCCTGCTATGCCTGCCATACGCGGCGCCAACGCGATGGAAGTCGAAGACGATCTGGAGGCCATGAAGGTAAGATAAAGTCGTCTCCTGGCTGTACCGGACGTCCGCTAATGGCCTCCCAGCGCAGTTCAAAGCCTCGTCAAAGGTCGATGATGCAGCCTCTCGAGGACTATCAAGCAGTTGCGTTCGGAGGCGCTCTTGGCCCTGCCGGCGAGCAATTCATCAAGGACACGCCGTGGGCAAACCCGAACCACATTTCCCACAAGATCAGCTCCGGTCCTTCGGCGCAGGGGGCGCGGGTCAACAGCCCGTCACAGAGCAAGACTCCAGCAGGCCCATCGCAACCACCGCCGTTATCGAACGGTCACGCGGTCCCGCAGACGTCACCACACACGAGTCTGTTTCCTTCTGCATCCCCAGAGATGGTAAGGACAGCAAATGTTCTCACGCAGAGCGCTCAGATGAAGCGCGCAGGAAGTCGGGCATCGAAAGCGGCCAAGGACTCGGCGCCCAAACAGGAACCAGCGACAGCGGTGGCAAGTTGAGAGGCATCACCCGGTTGCTGACGGCGTTTTCGAGGCTTACTGTACTGTTATGATACCCCACGACGGCTTGGGCGCATCGCCCTCTTTTTATTTTCTTCATCTCGGTTACGTTTATGCCACGCAAAGAGGCGTCGGCTTTTCATCGTTGGGTTCGCATAGATGTGCGAAGTCCCTCAGTTTAAAAAGAAAAGACGGGTGGTTTGGATCGGTTTGGGGCGCCTCGTCTGCATTGGGATGGGCAGTTGTTCCCTGTACCTTAACGAGACATGTACAGAAGTTGATTGGTTGTTTTTGATTTTTACAGAGGTGCATTCATCGTCGGAGGCGACATCTTCTCGCCGGCATATATTATACAATGCAAATGTTATCTCACTTGCAAGCGCACGCGTTCGGCGTCTATGACCCGGCCACACAGTGACACTGCTGCCTCATTTCATCGTTCATCCGCTGCATCTTATACTCAGTTGTTCTTCGCCGGCTGCCTTGGAACCTCTGGGACCTTGACGTCCTCGAACTCGTCCTGTCCGACCGCCTTGAGAGTGTACCAGTCTAAGGCGCCAAATTAGCTAAACGGTTCCTGGATATCAACAGTCGCTACATACACACTGCGCCGGCGAAGCACCACAGACCGGCTCCGACAGCGAGGTTCTTGACGAGGTAAGGCTTGCGTGCTCGGATCAGGGCGGGCCCTTGTCGCAGGTTGCGATCGTAGTAGGAGGACTTCTTGGGGCTGGTTTTTTTGCTCGTCAGACCACACTCAGCGGGTGACTGCGGGGGACTCGTTGCCATACATTGCCATTGCGACTGGATGTGTCGGTCTTCGACTCTATTCGATCGCTATGAGAAATGTCGCAGGTGTGGAGGTGACGGGGTGTGTCGCTGCCCTTGGGCGATCGTGGGTTACGCCGTGATGAAGTTCGATCTCGCCTGTCGCATAGACCGAATAATCTAGAGGAAATTCACAGGCCGAACATTCCCTCGCCGCTGATTGGTATCGATAAAACGGCAGAAGATCGGCTGAACTGATAGTGACGTAGACTGATCCGATAAGCCTGGAGGCAAGGGTCCCTGCGGGCAGCGGTTGTCTTTTTTTTTGGGGCCGGCCAGGACGCAGAGCGCTCGCTGCCTTTTGCATGAGAGACACACCTTGCTTCCTCTAGTGCTTCTTCTACCTTACGGTAAGAACAGCTGCGAAGAGCAAGCTTAAAATCCCAAGCCAATTGTGTTTCGAAACCAAGGAGCTTTCCGGTTTTGCATCGTCATCACGGAGCCAGCTCCTTCTCATCTGCCGGACGTCCAACATCTCGATTTAAAGAGTCCCAGAGCTCCAGGGGGCCAGAGGTGCACAGGCTGTCTTTTCTCTCCACCCACAGGCACCACTCACCACACACGACCACCAGCACGGAGCGCTGTCTGCAGAAAGGGCACAAAGGACGCTAAGCCCAAAGCAGCTACCCAGGTCGACACGCCCCGTCATAACCCGCGTCGCTGGTCGCTGGTCGCTTGTCACGCAGCCTTTCGACGTCGCCAGGCCGCTGCTGCACTTGCACCGCAGGAACACTTCGCACTTTTGGATCTTGGGGGAAAAAAGAAGGACAAGGCAATCGCATCGGACACCAGTCGCCTTCAAGTCGCCTAACCATCCAACAAATTTTCCATCGGATTCTGCTGGCGACCCTTTTGACGACGACAACCGATTGCGATCTTGTTTATTTTCCGGCGCGTTGGAGGCATGGTGACCTGGGAAAAGCTTGAGCTCTCCATATTTCGACAAGTCGCGACAAGCTCCTGCCACGACCCTTGTGATCTCAAATCCCCTCGCCGTGGCCAACGTCCGCCACAACAACCCACAGCGTTTTGAATCCCTAGAGTATTTCGCGAAATCGGCTCGACTTGTAGTCCCTCCATCCCCGATCGGTCATCGCAACGATGGCGTCCGCCTCTGAGCAGTCCGTGAGCGACCAAATCCGCCAGCTGAACGACGCCCGCAAACTCGTCCTTGGCGACGTCAAATATTATCCCAACGTCGTCCAGAGCATCCTCCCGATCGTCGGACCCTCCGCGCGCGTCGAACTACGAAGATGGGGCGCCGACTTCCTGGCCGAGGCCTTTGCGACACCAGCCCTCCCCGGCGGCGAGAAGGAGACGATGCAGCTCTTCGTGCTGGACACGCTGCAGACCATGGTTGAGAACCCCAATGAGGACGCCCAC